GTGATGATGAATTACTTAAATCAATGAATTACTTAAATCAATATATCATCAAATACAATTTTTTCAACATGCACTTTTTAGGAAAAATAAATCGCATAAATATAAAATGCATAAAGTAAAAAATCAAAACTAACACATCAAAATTTACAGTGGTTCAATCAAATAATGACCTACGTCCACTTCCCGAAGTCCTCCTCTCCAGATATTACACTAATGTATCTTCTTTATCCCTCACAGCTAGACGGAGAAGCCCTTACAATCTTTTTATCAACCTGATGTGGCAGAGAACCTTTCAATTCTTTTTCACCCTCATGGTGAAGGCAGATAACCTTACATTCCTTTTTTACTCTCCTGGTCAAGGAAGAGAACCTTGACAATCTTCGAGATAAAGTTCTTGTTCCTAAAGCTACCCAAGAAACCAAGCAAACAGGGGCGGAACCAGCTTCAATTTTGAGGGGGGGGGCAAGTACAATATAAAAATAATTAATTATTAAAAAAAAATATAAGTTATTTAAAAAAATTAAGCAAGAAAAAAATGTGTAATTAAATTGTCATGAAAAACACGAAAGAAAATATTAAAATTAAATTTGAAGAAATATATAGACATTTTAGGACAAGTTAGGACAAAATAATATTTAGGGGGGGCAAAAGTAATTTTTTAGGAGGGGCAAAAAAAATTTTTCTCTTTAAATTTTTTTTTTCTCTCCTATAAAAAACAATTTTTTTTTTTTGAGGGGGGGCAATTGCCCCCCCTAACTATATGGTGGTTCCGCCAGTGCAAGCAAAACGCTCGGAGGAGACAAGGCAGAGGCTTCCTCGGAGGAATCATGTGTAATCCCCTCCCACTCCTCCCTCATACACAACCTCTCTTTTCTTCTTCCCAAAGCTCTCCATGATCTCTCTAAAAGTTCTCTTTTTAGAAAACCCACAGCCAAAAGACTTGGAATAAGTCTATTAAGAGAGCTTAAATACAAGGCTTCATAAAAATCATAACAATTAAATTATGTCGACACTAATCTTGCAATACGATGACAGATTGTACAGTACGATTCATTCAAATAGCCCTGTTAGTAATGTACGAAAAAGAACTGTATGAAGAACAAGACGATGTACGATCAGTTCAAGTTTCTGAAACGAACATTCAATACAATATAAGGCATTATCCATTATGATTAGTTCAATTGAATTGGATTATCATCCCATACGATCGATGACAACTAATTATTCTCTCGTGTTGAGATTTGTTCTTATAGTACGATTGCTCCAATCATACACTATGATCTAATTGAATTAATTAATCCAAATTTGATCTCTTAATTACAAGATTGATTAGGAAAGATTTAATTATATCGTACAGAATGATTGGTATCGTATGATATAATTAATATAAATTTTAAATTTTAAAATGTTGCCTAAAATATAATTTGGTGGCTGAGATCTTGATTTTTATTGATCGTCATATACGATATAGATCGTATTATACGATTAGTATAAAATAATAATTATGCCAATTAGTCGTTACATTGGTTTTTTGAATAACTGATCGTCTAGTACAATATATATCATACCATACGATTAGTTTACGAAAAAAATTACACTTCTAATTTTCTCACTCACATGTGTGTGTGCGCGCGCGCGCACAATCACCAAATTTAGCATTCACCAAGTATAAGAAATTGACTTAAGAAAAGTAGAATTAAATAAAAGCAAAAATACAGACTCTTGAAGAACCTTAAACCTATTATACCTAGTCTTGAGTTGATCACTTGTTGCAGTGTACGATGGACCTAAAATGTTAATGCACAAGAAAAAAAGCTAATAATAAAATAACATGAGTTGACATAGAAACAATCCAATAATATTTGTCATCATTAACATCATACGATCGATGTCCATTTGCAACAATCTCTCCCTTTTTTATGTTGACAAACATATTTGTTATAATTGAAATTGAATCTGTTATATCCTAAACTACCCCCTTGCGCTAGTTTGAGTTTTGTTATACATACAAATATCTTCTTCAATCATAGCTGTGGAGAGGTATTAGACCGCTTGAATCACATATAGACCTATGGTGCAACAATGAAAATAGTGATGCAATTTGAGACTAATGATATTATTATGTTGAATATAAGAGAAAATGACGCAACATGTATCTTTATTGAATTCTGTCCTAATCATTTATATAAAAAATTTCAAAACAATATTTATTTTTAAATAATTTTGATTACTATTTCAATTTTCAACTTGGTACTCTTAACTCACAATTGTTACTTGAATAAAATAGTTTCAATTCATATGATCTTTACAATTACATTTTATAAGTCTCAACCATTAATCATAAATTTGAACATTTTATAATGATATAAATCTGATTTGATTTGGGTAACTTCAATACTTGTACACTCACATGAGACATATGGGGGGGAAATTCATGTGCAATGTGTTATAATATTGTGATTGTATTTAGTTGCAACAAAATTATTATGTGTTTTGCTATAGCTATTCCGATTGCGCTCAACTTGCTTCTACAAGAACATAATAATCTTTTTTCATTTAATATAATGCTTCTCAATGTGATTTTTTTACACTATCGTATCTACCTTGTAATATCTATACTTTATACTTGATACGTTATCAAGAAATTATCTTAATTGGGCACGAATCTCGAGGCAAAATCAGTTCGGAAACTTCAAAATAAATTCAAGAGCATATGAACTCCGATTTCGGCGAGCTTACAGTCAAACTGAGCGTCTCGGAAATACGAATCCAACGATACCAAATTCGCCCAATCCGAGCCGAAATGGGTCCAAATCAAGGACCCGAAGCGCTGTTGGAAGGTTCAAACCGCAATTTGAGTTACCAAACGGTCTCCGATTTTGAC